TTCCTGTATTGACGTTGTCAGGGAGGGGCTGATCTCATCATGCCTGTTCATAGATTCACTCGCCAGCATGCTCTGGGATGGCCCGGTGGCAGAATGTTGGTCGACCTGGGCCCCCGGTTTGTGTCCTTTGTGAGATGTGTAAGTGCATGGTTCCTTGTGACAGATTCTGGAAGGCTCTGAGTTCTGGTTGGGGAATCCCCCAGAAACTCCACACCATGGGAAGGATAGGATAGACAGACTGACGGACCCCACTCATTGGGGTCCTGGGTTCCAGTCTGCTTTATGCTGAGTCTCAGTAGCCCTGTCTGTAATCAGGGACTCTGGGGACACTGAAGGAGCCAGTATGATGAGCCAAGGTCACCGAGGGGTTGCCACATGGCCAGTGTGTGCTAAACCCTTTGACACACAACCCCGTGACCCCATGGTATGTGTGTGTGTGTGTTGGGGTCTCAGCACTCCCATGTCCTGATGAGGAACTAGACGGCAAAGGGGAAGTGACTGCTCAAGGTTTCAGGGCAAAGAGGAACCATTCATTCAGCAACAAATCTGACTTTTCCCATCCCTGCTCACATACCCTCTATGGCTTCCCCTGACCTCCAGGAGACAGTCCCACTTCTCAGTCTGGAGTTCAAGGTCTTTACTAGCCAGTCACTAGCCTCCGAAATCACCCCCTCTCCAAATTCTGCTTTTCATCAAAATAAACTACAGATGATCCCTTAGAATAGGCCTTGTTCGCTTTCCCTCCACGCCTTTGCATTTGCTCTTGCCTTGACCTGAACTCCTCTGCATCCGTCAAAGCCTCGGCTTCAGTATCCTAGTCCCTTCTTCTGGCCCAGCTCTGATCCCATGCGTGTCTGGATTGGTCTCCCCCAGATTGGGAGCTTCTGGGGGTCCAGGCCCAGGGTTGAGGATTTTCAGGTTCCCCAGACCTATTTGTAGAATGAATGAGTGAGTGGGTGAGTAGTTTCTTATTATGTGCGTTTTGGGAGAAGAGCTGCTGAGACCCTTCTCGGGACTGAAGGACCTGGAGACAAAGCAGGTTGTTTCTGTGGTGATGTGAGGCACCCCTGCGCCGCCCCCCTGAAACAACTCCCCATCTATGAATCAAAGCTGGTGATTTCCCCAGAGATATTCCAAACCCATAGACTTCACTGAGCGAGATGCCATTTGGGCTTCCGCAAATCTAGTCGTTCTGCCCAGTGAGAACTGGAGACGGTGGACAGTGGAATCTTAGATGCGGTCAGGGAATCAGACCCAAGCTGCGAGGAGCTTCTCATCAACTCCCTCGCCCAAGCAAAGACCCCAGAGTCACTTGCTCCTGCTCAGTTGCTTGGAGGAAATAATACCGAGAAGCTTCCCCTTCTTGGTGGAGCTGAGCCTCCAAGACCCTTCCCTTGCAGACAGTAAGAACCATAAGGACAGATCAGTGACTACCTAGGGCCTGGGCCGCAGCCCACAGAGACACCCAGCAAGATTTTACTTATTTATTTGCCAGAGGGAGAGAGAGAGAAAGAGAGTACAAGTACACACGCAGCGGGAGAAGCAGGCTCCCTGCTGAGCAGGCAGCCCAACATGGGACTCCATCCCAGGACCCTGAGATCATGAACTGAGCCAAAATCAGACACCCAACCGACTGAGCCACCCAGCGCCCTCCCAGAAGTTTTTTCTTATGCCTGTCCAGTGTGAGATTTTATGAGGATAGCAACATGACCTGCTTGAGGGTATAAGGGGTTATGAGTTAAGAAGGGCCTTGATGGACGGTAAAGGGATGGGGATCTTGGATGCATTAATAGAGGTCTAGTATAGGGAGGAGGAAAAGTGAACCTTTCTTCCCTGCCTCCAGCTTGAGCTCTCAGATGCAAATTAGGAACCTCAGGGGGTTTGGAGAGTAGAGTAGCAGAATCCCTCCATTTAATTTTTTTTTAGATTTATTTATTTATTAGAGAACACAGAGGAAGAGGAAGAAGCAGACTCCCTGCTGAGCAGGGAGCCTGATGTGGGGCTCCATCCCAGGGCCCTGGGATCATGACCTGAGCTGAAGACAAATGCTTAACCAACTGAGCCACCCGGGCACCCCAGAATCCCTCCATTTAGAAAAACCTGAGACCTGGGGAGAGAAAGTTAGGAATGCTGGTAGCCAACAAAGGGCAAGTGTTCCATATGCAAAGAGTTCTTATAAATAAACAAGAAAGGAAAATGCAAGAAAAAGAACATCCATTAATGGAACTAATTAAAACCAAATGGTGACCCCCAAGAGGTTCTTTTTTGCCCTGATACCCTGGTAAGAGTCATTCAGTCATTTCAGTTCTTCTCATACCTCCCCCTCCCCAAAGCCTGAGTTTGGCTGAGTTATAAATATTCGTATTTGCGGAAGTATCTTCCTTTGTTCTGAAACTCTTGTTTGGGCCTTACAAAACACATTTCCAATGAACTGGTCCTTGGCCACTTAAGTTTAATTTTCTATTTAATAGATGTTTAGGGATGCCTGGCTGGCTCAGTAGTTTGGGCATCTGCCTTCTGCTCCAATCATCATCTCAGGGTCCAGGGATCAAGTTCCACTTCGGGCTCCTTGCTCAGTGGGGAGCCTGCTTCTCCCTCTGCCTGCTTTGTGCTTCCCCTGCTTTGTGCTCTCTCTCCCTCTCTGGCAAATAAATAAATAAAATATTTAAAAATAATAATAGTTGTATGATAAATATTTAAATAATATACAAATAATGAGTCTCCTAAATACTTCATATGATGAATTTATACAAACCATATCAAGAGCTTTTGTTCGATCCTGATTTTTCTTTTCTCGTCTTCCCTTGTTTTGAGTTCTCTCTTCCGGATTTCTGTGTTGGTTTAGAGCAGGATATCTCAAGTTTGACTATGTTGACATTTGGGGCTGGATTATCCTAAGGTAGGGCTATCCTGTGTCATCTAGAATGTTAATTTAAGCAGCATCACTGGCCTTGTTAATGACATTAGCAGTACGATACCTCTACCCTACCCAAATCAGGACGGCCAAAAATGTCTCAGGACATTGCCAAGTATTTCCTGGAGGACAGAATCACCTGTTTGAAGATCCCGGATTTAGGCTCTAAACTGCAGATGGGGAGAAGGGTGAATCATTCTAAAATGTTACGGGTCCTGGGGCACCTGGGTGCCTCAGTAAGTTAAAGCCTTCAACTTCAGCTCAGGTCATGATCTAAGGATTGGGGCTCCGTGCTCCGTGGGGAGTCCGCTTGTCCCACTCCCTCTGCCTCTACCCCTGCCCATGTGTGCACACACCCGCACGCGCTCTCGCTCTTAAATAAATAAAATGTTTTAAATAAATAAATAAAAAGTTTACCGATCATTCGTGAGAGTGTTTCTTGCCCAGGAGTTCAGTTCTGAGGTATGCCATTGTTTTACGGGATCTATGAGTCTCCGGCCACAGGTGTGGCCCAAGAGAACACAGTGGCATTTTTAGTCTGATTTGTGGTGTACATCGTCTTTCTGTTATAGCTTGTGCGTGGTTTTCCTAACCTTGAAGCTCGGCGATCTGCCCGGTTTGCCCGGGAACACTCCTTTCCCTGGTGTCCGTCCTGGACTCGGTCCTCTCCTCAGCTCAGGAAAATACCCTTCAAGAATTCAGGGCGTTCTTATTGCATTCACAGTTTCACGCCAAGATTATTTGCATTTTAGGGTCTCCCAGACCTGTCCTCCAGCAGATGAAGCCCCAGGGCGGGCAGCTCAACCGGGATGTCCCAGGAACGAGACAGGCCCTATGCCTCCCGCATACAGGGTTCTGACACTGCTTAGTCTCTGCTGGCTCATTGCACCTGCTGTTCCCGCCCCTGGGACCTTTCACCCAGACCTCAGCCCTGAATGGCTCTTCTGTGCCATTCACATCCAGCTTAAATGTCATCCAGACCTCAAAATCCAACTGCCACCCATCTACATTTCCTCCTGTGGCTTTCGTCACCTTGTATCATTTCTTTACTTCTTTTTTTTTTTTTTTTTTGAAGATTTTATTTATTCATTTGACAGAGAGAGACACGGCGAGAGGGAACACAAGCAGGGGGAGTGGGAGAGGGAGAAGCAGGATTCCCGCTGAGCAAGGAGTCCGACGTGGGGCTCGATCCCAGGACCCTGGAATCATGACCCGAGCTGAAGGCAGACGCCCAATGACTGAGCCACCCAGGCGCCCCACCTCCTATCATTTCACTGAGGTTTTAATTAATGCTTGTTGCCTCTCCAGGGTGTGGCTTTCATAATGGAGACATTTAGGTATCCCTGGGTCCGCAGAAAACCAACATCCTTTCAGCAGTCCTCTGATGCACATTCGTGCCTCGGATGTGCCGAGCACGGTTCCGGGGCCCGGGGATAACCTGGTAAACGAGACATGTCGCAGGGAGCTCAAGTTCGGGTGGGGGAGATGAAGGTGAAACAAGACATGGTAAAAGTTTTTATCATGTATTTTAGGAGGGGAGAGGTGCTGTGGGAGGAAAAAAATGTAAAACAGGGTTGGGGATCAGGGAACTATTGTGTCCTGAGGACTCCCTCCTGTGAAAGAGACATTGGAGGAAAGACGAGAAGTGAGGGAGGGAACCATGCACACATCTGGGGAAGAGTATTCCAATCAGAGGGAAGAGCCTGTGCAAAAGGCCTGAGGCAGGATCATGCCCAGCGTGCTTGAGGCTAAAATCCCCACAACAGCACTCTTACATGGGGTTAATTCTCCCCGTCCACGTGGAGGCTCAGAGAGGTCAAACTTCTTTCCCAACGTCACACAGCGGTAGGATCTGAGCCCTGTCTCTGGAAGACAGCTCACTGGAGAGACTTGGCCAGGCAGTGTTCAGTGACAGCAGTGGGTGTGCTGGGGAAATGGCCTCATGGGTCCAGGAGGAAAGCCCTATTCCCACCTCTGGATGGAAATGGGAAGCCATTCTCTTCTTTGCTTCCAGGCAGTAGCTGGGTGGGGCTGCCTGGGGAGGAAAGAGCCTTCCAAAACCCACTGACCGCGTCACCTTTTCCAGGTGCCAGCGGGAAGAACAGAGAGACCCCAGAAGAGCACAGACCTCCCACGGCAGCCCGAGGTAAGCTTGAGCTGCACATATATGTTCCATAAATCCTTGTGGCATGCCCCCTCGGTGCCATATGCTGGCAGCTCCCTTCCTGCCTGCACAATCCTGGGAGCTGGAGATGGCTCAGATGCCCCCTTTCACACCCGAGGAAACCGAGGCCCAGGGTATGGAGGGCACACAGCCAGAAGGTGATGGAATTGGGATCGAAACCCAGGAACTGGGCTCTAGAGTCTGCACCTGTCTGGGTGAGTCAGTAAGTGTTTGAGAATGGCTAAGTCCTGCCTTGGGTCTAATCCACTACTCGCCTGTGCTAGAAAACAGACCTTCAGGCATAGGGCTGAGAAACAGTGCAGACACTGCCTCTCCAGACAAAAGGACATTAAGGGAATCCAGGGAAGCCCGGGAAAGGGACCCTGGAAGGCAGACCAAGGGCTCTGCCTGGATATGGGGAAGGAAAGCTTCTAGGAGGAGGTGACATTAGAGCTGGGGTTTTGAAGGATGAATACGAGTTTGCCAGAGAAAACCTTAATGAATTTACTTTTATTCATAAATTTTATTTGTTCAAACACTCCCTGCTTCCCCCATGTGTCTGCCTCCTGCTGGGCCATGCCAGGACCCTCAAGAAGCCCCCAGTCTTAGAAAGACAAAGCTAAATGCGCACACCCCCACAGGGATCAAGCCTGGGCCAGAGGGGTAGATGGAACTAGAGGTGCCAAACAGAACCAGTAGCATTCCTGAGGGGTTCAAGAGAATTTCCCAGAGAATGATCACTTAAGACTTTTTTTTTTTTTTGAAAGATTTTATCTATTTACTTGACAGAGAGAGAGATCACAAGCAGTGAAAACAGCAGGCAGAGAGAGAGGGGGAAGCAGGCTCCCCGCAGAGCAGAGAGCCTGAAGCAGGGCTCGATCCCAGGACCCTGAGATCATATGACCTGAGCCAAAGGTAGAGGCTTAACCCACTGAGCCACCCAGGTTCCCCTAAGATGGGTTTTAAAGCACAAATAGGAGTTTGGCAAGGAAGACAGCTCTGTTTGAAACCTGCGGGGCCTAAGGGATCTGTGGGGAGCCAGGGGCCATGCTCAGGTCACAGGGCCATCAAAAACAGGCACAAAGAGTGGATGATGGTTTGGATCAGCATTCCAGAAGCTTGGAGCTTCCTGGAAGGGCAGGGGGAAAAGGGAAGCAGGAAAGATCCAGTAGCAATCAGTGATAAAGGAGCAGTTCTTGGCCTCCTTGGGGGAGGCTCCCGGGCCATCTCAGAGGCAGGGACATGAAGAGAACCAGATTGAAAGGATGGATTCTGGGCACGTGGAGTCTGGGAGGCTCGCCTTGGCATCTCCATGCCTCAGTCCTCTCTGTAAGTACTTAATCCCCAGCAGGGCCTGGGCAACTGTCAGAGCCAACAAAGGGCTAAGCATGTTGGAAGAGGTTGAGGGGTGCGAGGAGGGCCAGACAGGCAGGGGGATTCATTTCAATCCTGCACAGACCTTAGCACCTAGGGGCTAGAGGCCAGGTGTTGGGGTCCGCCAGGAGCTCAGGGAAAGTGCTCGGCCCATCCCGGCTCTTCAGTGCCTGTTACACTCCTCGCAGGAACCACCCCAGCCGACCAGGATGAGGTGTCGCCGGTGCTGGGTGACCAGATTGGGCCTGGCTGTAGCCCTGAGCATCTTCACGCTCCTTGTCTTCCTCCTCTTCAGTCTGCACGCCTCGCCACCCACCTTCCAGAGCCTGGAGGAGCCCCCGGGCCACGCAGTGGCTCTGGCCTGGCCGGCTCCGCCTTCCCGCCCACCGCCCAACCCCTGCCTGCCCAACACCTCCGCCGCCGCCCTGCCGAGCTTCGCGGGGCTGCCGCAGCATGTGCGCTACTTCCTGCTGTATAAACACTGCCGCGAATTCCAGCTGCTGCAAGACGTGCGGCCAGACAAGTGCGCGCAGCCTGTCTTCCTGCTGCTGGTCATCAAGTCCTCGCCCAGAAATTACAAGCGCCGGGAGCTGGTGCGGCACACCTGGGGCCGCGAGCGCCTGGTGAAGGGCGTCCCGCTGCGCCTCATCTTCCTGGTGGGCACGGCCCCTCACGCCCTGGAGGCCCTCAAGGTCAACCGGCTGCTGGCGATGGAGGCGCGGGCTCACGGTGACATCCTGCAGTGGGACTTCCATGACTCCTTCTTCAACCTCACGCTCAAACAGGTGGGCCAGCGAGGAGCGTTGGGGGACGGTCCGCTGGTCAGGGCCACCCATCCTTCCCGCCCGCTCCCCATCACCTCCTCTGATGGGGCCCAGGGAACCAGACGTCCCCCCCCCCCCCGTCCCACCCCCCCCACCCCCCGCGTTGTCCTGGTGGTGGTCTGAAGTCTAACTTCAGACTGGGGTGGGGACAGGGGCGGGGGCGGGGTGGGTGGCGGGCAGGAAGAAAGAGCCTGAGGTTACAAGGCCAGCTTCCCGAGCCAGGACCTGGGTTTGAATTCAGACTCTGCCTCCTACTTGCTGTTTGCCTTTGATAATCATTCTCTCTGTGCTAGCTTCTTCCTGGTCAGGGAGGAAACGGCCGGCGTCTGAGGGCTTCCGGAGGGTTTTCAGGAGGTTATTTACAAGGCCCTGGAAGAGCTCCTGTAATCTGTGTGGGTGGAGGAGCAGTGGACAGGACCATTTTGTTTATTTTTTTTTTTTTAATTTTTAAATTTTTATTCATTTGACAGAGAGAGAGATCACAAGTAGGCAGAGAGGCAGGCAGAGAGAGAGGGAAGCAGGCTCACTGCTGAGCAGAGAGCCCGATGCGGGGCTGGATCCCAGGACCCTGAGATCATGACCTGAGCTGAAGGCAGAGGCTTAACCCACTGAGCCACCCAGGTGCCCCATGTTTATTTCTTATTCTCTGTCCCCTTAGGACCCCATCTGTGTAGGAGGTGGTCAGGAAAGACTTTTTTTTTTTTTTTTTAAGATTTTTATTTATTTGACAGAGATCACAAGTAAGCAGAGAGGCAGGCAGAGAGAGAGAGAGAGAGAGAGAGAGAGAAGCAGGCTCCCCACTGAGCAGAAAGCCCGATGTGGGGCTGGATCCCAGGACCCTGGGATCATGACCTGAGCTGAAGGCAGAGGCTTTAACCCACTGAGCCACCCAGACACCCAGGAAAGACCTTTTTTGATGGACAAGGACCCACAGGAAGTGGAGAGAATCCTACCCAGTGCACAGATAAGGAGTAAGAGGCTCCAGAGACCCACCCAGGCATTGGAGGGGGTGCTCAGGGCAGGGTCTCGCTCATCATAGTCACAGAAAAGTCTGGGCTCGAGACCTTAAGTTGCTACTTTCCTGTTGTGTGACCTTGTTCCCTGTGCTCTTTCTGGAGAGCCTCTATTTCCTCATCTGTAAATGAGGTTGATGACCACACCTGCCTCCTAAGCTTGCACGAGGGATTCAAGGCAGCGCAGGCATGGAGAACAGAGCTGGGCATGTGGCAAAAGTTATTACAGGGAAGTAGAAGCCAAGGCGGGTTGAGGGCTAGAACCTCTCAACATGACATGTTCTTCATGCAGAACACAAAAGCACCTAATCAATGTCTATTGGACAGGCATGAAATCCAGTACCTATGAAGTTATGACCCACAGGGGGTGCTGGGGAGATGACACAGGGAGGGGAGACACAGCCCCCACTCGGGGGAAGCCTAGAGTCCAGTGGGGAAGGTAGATGTTAAGTAACGATGACATGAGTAATTATTTAACAGCAGTGCTTGGCCAGGCAGCGTCCGAAGGAAATAACAATAAATGTAAATGGGACAATTTTCAAACACTTCTCGGTGCTTTACAGAGCATCATTTCCACAGATCCCCAACACCCCCCAGGGGCATGTCCTACGATGGAGTCTGTCTGGAAAGTTGAAAACTTTCCAGAGGCTTAGGGTGGCGCCTCAAACCCAGGCTGGCCTGACAGCAGTTGTGGGGGGAGAGCCTATCCTCATCTGGGCTTCCCGGGCTGCGGCAGCTCACAGGGACCCCAGGCCGATGGCCCCAGCCCTCCAGCTTGTATGCCCTGTCCACTTCGCCTACAGGTGCTCTTCCTACAATGGCAGGAGACTCGGTGCACCAATGCCAGCTTCATGCTCAATGGGGATGATGACGTCTTCGCACACACTGACAACATGGTGTCCTACCTGCAGGACCACGATCCTGACCACCACCTCTTTGTGGGGCAGCTGATCCGCAATGTGGGCCCCATCCGGGTTCCCTGGAGCAAGTACTATGTGCCAAAGGAGGTGACCCAGGAGGAGCACTACCCACCCTACTGTGGCGGGGGTGGCTTCCTACTGTCCCGTTTCACAGCCGCTGCCCTGCGCCGGGCTGCTGTCACACTGGACCTTTTCCCCATCGATGATGTCTTCCTGGGCATGTGCCTGCAGCAAGAGGGCCTGGAGCCCGCCTCCCACAGTGGGATCCGCACAGCCGGCATTTGGGCCCCCTCAGCCCACATGTCCTCCTTCGACCCCTGCCTCTACCGGGAACTGCTGCTTGTTCATCGCTTCTTGCCATATGAGATGCTGCTCATGTGGGATGCGCTGAGCCAGCCCAACCTCGCCTGCGGCAAGAAGTTACAGATCTACTAGGTGGTGTCAGGGCCCCCTAGCCTCTAGGCTCTGATCTCCACCCCCATGGAAAGGGGCAGCATCTTCCTCCCTGGCAGGGGAAATCTTCATTCCTCTAAGCAGGTCAGGCATAGGGGAGTGCCAGGAAGGGTTTGATGAGTGCCTAGTCTAGCTGGCAAACTCCTAGATATCTTTCCAAACCCACGTGGTACTTGAACCCATGCTTCATCATCCTCCCTAGGCTCTCTGCTGAATGGACCGTCTCTTTCTGTGGGAGCTAATTGCAGAAGCCCCTCTCCTAGGGTTCTGGGTTGCTGCTCCTGCATCGACCCCATCTGAGTCAAGGTCACATTTCCCAGCTCTGACCTTGATCACAGGCTGGACCTTAAAGGCTGACCAGCCCCTCCTTGGTCATACACCTTGAGTGATTTAGTAGTATGTGAGTTCCAGCCATGGTTCAAGGTCAGTGGCAGAACTCCTAGTTGAAGTGAACTTAGGAAAGGAGTTTTGTTCTCAGCCTCTCCATGGTCTCCATCCACCCGAGATGGCGAAAGCGGTCAGAGAAGCCATGAGTGGGACCGCCCCATCCCTGCCTGTGATATCCAGTGCTCTGATGGCTGACGCATTGGGTAGAGGAGGGAAGAAGCTGTCTGACTCAAGCAAAACCAGCTCCAAGTTTCTGGGAGTCCCTAACAGGGCCCTGCCCACCCCATTTATGCTCCCCAAGAATTCAGGGAATGTTGTGGGGCCAAAGGGTCTTCACTGGGCCCAAGGTCAGCACACACACTCACCCCAGTGCTCAGAGAAGGGAGAGATTCTGGTCCTTGGGTGTCTCTGAGCTCTAGGGACCCAGGACCAGCCCTTACCTCAGTAAGCCTTTCAGATTGGGGAGATCCAAGCAAAATGGTGACCACCCCCCCCCCCAAAACCCTGCTGGCTCTGGGTGGATGTCTGGGGCCTGGGCTTCCGAGGCATTGGAGTAGTGCTTGGGACGTGGGGATGGGGTGACCCCAGACAGCAGAATGATCGCTGGGAAGTGGGTACTCAGGGAATAAAACGTTTTGTGAAGACCTAAGGTTCTTTTTTTTTTTTTAAAGATTTTATTTATTTATTTGACAGACACAACGGGAGGGGGAGCAGAAGCAAAGTGAGTGGGAGAGGGAGAAGCAGGCTTCCCACTGAGCAGGGAGCCCCATGCGGGGCTCGATCTTGGGACCCTGGGATCATGACTTGAGCCGAAGGCAGACGCTTAACTGACTGAGCCACCCAGGCGCCCCTCTTTTCTTTTTTTTAAGTGATCTATAAGTTTTAATCCAGACCAGTCTCTAATCAGTAACTAAGCCTCATTTCCAGTAGAAACTATGCGCCAATAAAAATGGCATGGGTGAAGTAGGGGCTGCAGGGATTTCTATTGGACAGATCTGCCATCATCCTGCCCCAGCTCACACACCCTCCATGGTTCCCTGTCACCCTCAGATCATGTCCCACCAAGACCTGGTCTCACTGCCAGCTTGGCAGCATGCTCAGGAGAGAGAGGTACAGGGGTGGGACTGCTGCGGGCCGTGAGAGACAGTGGACCTGCTTTGGCCTCCTGCTTCCAGCAAGGCTCCTTCCAAACACCACCAGCCTCCCCTTCTTCACCAGACTCCTGTCCCACTAGGACTGTGGCTTTACTATCTTCTGTCCCACCTCCTTTCCCTTCTGTAAGTATTTATTGTGTACGTCCTGTATGCTATACCCCTTGCCCTATACTCCTGCTCCCAGCCCCACTGGGATGGCAGATATCCACCTTACAGTGAGAAAACAAACCCATGAACAATCAAATAGGAAGTTCTCAGAAGTGGTAAGAGCTTTGAGAAGTCAAATGAAGCCATCGGACACACAGTGATGGGGACGAGTTATCAGCTGAGAGATCAGAGATCTGGGACTGAGGGGGGACATTAGAGCTGGGGCCTGAAGAAAGAGGACATGACCTTAGGAAGAACTGGGAGAAGGGTGTTCCAGGCAGAAGGCATAGCATGTGCAAAGGCCCTGAGGTGGGATAATCGGGAAGCATTCGAGTTGCAGCGAAGAGGCAGTCATTGGAGCTTGATGAGTAAAGAGGACCTGGAGAGAGGAGAGGCTTGATGTCAGAGGGGCTGGCCACATGGGGACTTGTGGGCTGGGGTGAGGAGAGAGGGAGTTATTTTGAGAGTGATGGCACCTTTGGAGCAAGGAAACGACAGGATTGATTTTTGAGTTTTTTTTTTTTAAGATTTTATTTATTTGACAGAGAGAGAGAGAGAGAGAGACATCACAAGTAGGCAGAGAGGCAGGCAGAGAGAGAGGGGGGAGGAAGCAGGCTTCCTACAGAGCAGAGAGCCCGACGCGGGGCTCAATCCCAGGACCCTGGGATCACGACCTGAGCCAAAGGCAGAGGCTTTAACCCACTGAGCCACCCAGGCGCCCAGATTTTTGAGTTTTAAGTACCACTGTTGGAAAGGAGGTGGAAGCCAAAGCAGCATCCAGGCCAAGGAAGGCGGGCCTGGATGAGATGGGGGTGCTGCGGGGGTTTCTAACATAGGTCTGACCTCATCCTGTCCCTGCTCATCAGGGGCTCCCCATCATCCTCAGGAGAGAGTCCTGCTCGCCTGCTGCAGTGGCTTGAAAAGTACACATCTACCTGGAACCTTAGAATATGGCTTTATTTGGAAATAGGGTCTTTGCTGGGGTGGCTGGTTGGCTCAGTTGATTAAGCGTCTGACTCTTCATTTCAGCTCAGGTCATGGTCTGGGGTGGTAAGATCAAGCCCTGTGTCAGGCTCAGAGCTCAGTAAGGAGTCTGATGGAAATTCTCCCTTTCTACCCTGTCCCCCATGCACGCGCTTTTCTCTCTCTCAAATGAGAGAGGGGAGGGTCAGAGGGAGAAGCGGACTCCCTTCTGAGCAGGGAGCCCAATGCTGGACTCAATCCTGAGACTCCAGGATCATGACCTGAGGCGAAGGCAGTCGCTTAACCCACTGAGCCACCCAGGCTCTCTCGAATAAATAAATCTTTAAAAAAAGGGAAAAAAGCCCTGGGTGGCTCGATGGGTTAAGTCTCTGCCTTTGGCTCAGATCATGAGCCCAGGGTCCTGGGATCCAGCCCCGTATCAGGCTCCCTGCTCAGTGGGGATTTGGCTTCTACCCTCTCCTTCTCTCTTGCTATCTCTTTCTCCAATAAATAAATAAAGGATTCAAAAGAAAAGAAAGAAATAGGTTCTTTGCAGATACAATTAAGGATTCAGGGGCGATCACTCTGGGTTAGGGTGGGGTGGCCCCAAATCCAATCAGAGTGTTTTGACAAGACACAGAAATGAACACACAGAGACACTGGAAAGAAGGCCATGTGAAGACAGAGACAGAGCTTGGAGTCCTGCATCTAGAAACCAGGGAAGGCCAAAATTGCCAGCAGCCACCAAAAGCCAGGAGAGAGACCCCAAGCAGATTCAGAGCCTCAGGGAAGGAAACAACCCTGCCCACCCTGACTTCCGGCTCTGGCTTCCAGAACTGCTAAGGGAAGACAGTTTCATTTTAGGACTCCCGATTTCTGGTAATTGGTGACTGCAGATGTTAGGAAAGTAATAACGTTGTCAAATGCTTGGTCATTTTGCCCCGGGAGTCCTAGAATGCAAGTTCCATCACAGGGTGAAGGGAGGGTGCAAATGAGAAAAATGGTCGGAGTTGGATCAGTAAGTGTCCACTGTGGCTCATTCTGATGTCTGTGTGTCCACTGTTACGTGGACTTTAAGTGACCTCGAGGTGCCCCCACCCCATATGGGTCTTGACAGACGACCTCAATTCAAATCCTGCACGTGGCCATTCCCTCCCTCTGACCTTGGCAAGCAGCTGTCTCCCCCGGCCTCAGTTTCCCCACTTTGTATTTCAATGACTCTCAAGTTGCTATCAAGTTCCTGAAAGGGGTGGTGGGGCCATGGCTGTGGGGGTGGGGCTGAGGGGGATGGATGGGGACAACCCACGCAAGGGCTGATGCAGCCTTGTCCCTTTATCTTGAGAAAATGCAAACAGCTGCTTAGGATTCTGCAGGGAGTTTTCTTTATTTACCACTGGGGAGATAGCAAGGGGCGGGGAGACACAGATGCTGGGAGGGCGGCGCCTGGGACTCCTCAGAGCAGAGGAAGTTTGGCCCTGAGTATCTGGCATCTGGGCAAAACCAAGGCTCTTCCAAGCCAGGGTGCAGGTGTCATTTTTCTCGCGGTTGGCCCTTCAGAGGAAGGTGGCCTGGGGGAGGTGGGGAGCACAGCAAGGTAATTGTCACCATCTTCCCAGACAGGGCTTTGTGGTGCTGTGTGGCTTCAGGAGCTCGCTGGACCAGACCCCTCTGGGTCTCTGGATCCTTCGGGGCCACATCCGGGGGGAGGGTTCAGTGCGGACACAGGGTCAGCAGGTCCCCCCGGGTGCAGCCACTGAGGCAGCAGTGGTGGGCAGGGTTGGTGGCGGCTGCCCGCCTGCGGTGGTGATGGCGAGAGCCCTGGGGCAGGGGCTGTGGCATGAAAACCAGCATGGGGTCCCCTTCGGCCACCAGCCTGTGGAGATGTTGTCCTTCCAGCCACTGCAGCAGCTCACCTGGGGACAGAGCAGAATTCAGCGTGGGCAGGGGACCCTAGAGGACCCCTCCCCAATATATGCACACACGTCTCACCAAGTGACCTGCCGAAAGCTCCTCTTGCTCACAAATAGAAAGTGAGCACCTATTAAATGCCTACTGTCTACTGAGCACAGATAAACTCTCCCATCCAGAAGTGTGAACTCTCAACCCACAACCATGCTCAGGTCCCCTGTTGTGCACGTTCCCGCAAGCCCTCTATCACGCAGACGCATAGACACTTCACAAAGCCAGAGACAGCAGGGGTGACATGGGACATATACATGGGCACATGTGTTCAGGCAGTGGGCTCACACATGCACACACAGGCACATACTCTCAGAGCCCTTCCCAGCCCTCCCCCACGGGTGCCTCTGTACCTCCAGGGGCATCTGTGTCACAAAGACGTATGCATATAGGACGCATATCTGTGACACGCAGGCATACACATCCGTTTTCTACTCTCTGTACCAGGACCGGGCGCAGGGTGAGAAGAGTGAGACCTGGCCTCAATGCTCCATTTAAGGGAGAGCCAAAAAACTCAACAATGAAGATCGATCATATCTTAATGCAATTTTAAAAATCAAAATTAATGCAAAAATTCACGAAGATCAAAATACTGAAATCGTAAAGAAGGCACTTTGAAGACTGCCTCGCTCGCCTCGCACTGATTTCCTGCCCGGCAGGGGACGCATCCTTCGCTCGCTGGCACGCACACCAGCGCTGCGGGCAAGTGGACGCCGGTAGGTGCGTGCAAACCCATCCGCCTGCCCCGACGCCCACCAGCGCCACGTGCACCTGCCCCACCTAGAAATCCCAGAGCGCAGTCCTCGCCCGCCCCTCACTCACGCTCGCCGCCAGCCACCCGCCGCCCGTCTTCGGAGGACCAGCGCGGACCCCCGCACAGCCGCACCAGCGCGCGCACGAAGTGGTGGCCGCACAGCTTCTCCCGCGCTTCCGGAGTGGGCACAGTGCCCAGCGCGAGCGCCAGAGCGGTGCCCAGCAGCACCAGCGCCCAGGTGAGTGGGCGGGACTCCATGGCGGCAGGAGGCCGGCCCCAGCGGGGACCCCTTCTTATAGGCATCCAACCCGGCCCAGCTGAGGACCTTGGATGGGGACAAAGCATTCCGCGGAAGACTCAGGGAGAAGGTCAAGGGCTGGGTGAGTGCTGAGTGCAAGTGTAGTGTAAACCCCGCAGTTGGGTTTTCTCTCTTTTTTTTTTAAAGCAATCTCTACGCCCCAGGTGGGGCTTGAACTCACGACCGCGAGATCATGTCTTGCATGCTCCAACCACTGAGCCAGGCTTTTTTGTCCTGCCTGACTTAAGGTTTGATGGCTCAGGCATCCTCTTCAAAGATGGCTATCTGGAATAAACCTATTTGCCGGCCACCCCGCTAGATAAAGAGCCAGGCGTCCTCCCCG